GAAAGCAAGAATTTTCATGCCTGGTAAACACGCGAATTATGCGAAGAGAGTTATTCCCAGCTGGGCGGGCAGCCAAAACTCCGAGAGCGCGCCGAGGCCAGCGCCCCCACCCCCGCGTTGGCAATGTCATAGGATTACAATGCGAGGTCTTCCCCTCCGCGACGCCCCCTCCTCCCTCTGCCCGCCCGCCCCGGGCCCCTCCTCCCCACCCCTGCCCACTTGGAAAACCCGCTCGCAGCCGGCGAGCTTCTCGGCTTTCAGAGTCGGAGCCGGTGTGAGCTAGGAGGACCCGGCTGCAGACGTGATAGGCTATAGACAGACCACCGGACAGAGGACGCACGGAACTGGCAGGCCCTGAAGCAGCTCCGGGCGCAGAGAAGGGATGCAGAACCCCCAGGCAGTCCCAGAAGACAGCGAAGGAGGTGCTGACTCCTGGAACGTGGCTGCTAATGCACGCAGCCTGCTATGTCTCCATTATTATTAATGTTGATAATACTAATAATAGCATCATCGCAGAAAGGAGTGGAGAGCTCCAGGCAGAGAGACAAGAAAAGTGTCCTCTGTGGTCACCCAGTGCCTAAATCCCGTCAGAAGGAAAACTGATCTTGGTGTCTTCCTTGGCTTTGACAGCCTGCGTCTGTGAATGTATGCAGCTGCTGGGGTCCCTGACTCCCCAGGATGGGACTTTATAACTAGTACAGATAGAGCCACGTCGACTTTGTCCAAATCCTGGAGAACAATGACAAGGTTTCCACCACCACTACCCGCCTGCCATGACTTAAGGATTGGCTTAACCCTCTCTCTTCAACTCTTTCCTTTCCACCTCCTTTGGCCCTTCCAGCATGCCCACACTTCATGCACAAGCACACTGAGGCAAAAAGTCCAGGAAAGCCAGCCCCTCAGGGGAGGGTCCTCTAGCCCCCAGAGTCTGGGAATGGGATCTGGTTCCTGGTTGAGATGGAGAAAGCCAGGGGTCCATTATCAGTCTTGCTTCTGAGACTCCTGGGAAAAGGGGTTGAAGTTTGGTGGCAGCTGCAGGAAGAAGCTGGCTGTGTATTAAGAGCTCTTAGCTGTGCTGGAGGAAGACAGCAGGGGGAGGGCCCAGCCCATATTGGTATTTCCAAGGGGTGATTCATCCTTTTTCTTTAATGCTCTTGGAATGTCAGAGCTCAAGGGGGGCTTAGATTCCAATGCCCACCTCTCAACTTACAGATGAGAAGACTGAGGCCTCAGCAAGGAGATCACACAGGTTAATATAACTGGCACTGCTAGGTGCCTACATGCACCATTTATGCTACTTCTTCCCCCCCCCCCCTTGTTCTTTCTTTGTTGTTTTAAATTTCTTTTTAATTCCCTTTTTTGGTGAAGGGGAGTTCTTTCCAAAATTGACATAGCAATTGATCATCCAGAAGCTGATGAGCCCTTCTGCTGGGTCTGCTGAGTAAGCTGTTATTAATGGCTTATGATGGGCCAAGCACTGAGCTACGCCTTTTATCCACATTCTCATGCAAGGTCTCTCATTCCCAAATAAGAAAACAGGAACTCAGCTTAAGGATCTTTTCAAAAGCCACGCAGTAAGTGGCATAGTTCTGTCTAGACTCTGGGCTGACACCAAAGCCTATACTTCTAAATGCCCTTCCCCGCTGGTAGCGCTCGGCCTGGTCTTGGAGGCACTCTGTGCTGTGTTACACGCTGGTGCCTCTCACTGAGAGTCCTGAGGGAGATCCAGGCCTGGTCAGGCCTGCTCAGCACCCTGTTTATACACCCTGTTATGTGCCCCTCCCTAGTCCGCCCCTCAAATGAGGCATTTACAGAGCTGTCCAAGAGGTGAGAAATGAGGAATCACATATAAATCACAAGCAAGCAGCTAAACAAACCCTTGAACACACCTGAGCCAGGAAGAGAAGGGTTTCTGTGAACTGGGCAGCCAGAGGGAAGCCTCTAAATAAGTCTCAAAGGACAAGGTGAATGTCAACCTGCCGAGGTGGGGAGGTGGGAGGAAAGAGCATTTAGATGGAAACAGTGGTATATGCAAAGTACACACATGTATATGTCTGTATTTGTGTGCTTGGAGAATGACTTAATCTTTAATATAGGATGAATCTATGCCAAGTGCCGGCAGATTAGAAGATCTGAAAGGAGGCTGCAGCCAGATGATAGGACACCTTGAATGCCAGCTAAAGGCACTCAACTTTATTTCTTGGGCAATAAGGAACCATTGAAAACTCTTGAATAAGGCAAGGACATCAGAGCACTATTGCAAAGGAATAATAATTCCTCATTTATTCAATCAACAATTTTTGAACACTGTTCTGTCCACCTATTGGTGTGTAACTTACCAATAGGGTGTAAAATATGACAAAATAAACCATCTTAAAACAACATTTTGGTCTTTCTCTAGCCCTGTGGGTCACAAATTTGGGGAGGGAGCAATTCTGGTAGCTATGGTAGAAGCTGAGAACTGGAGAATCCCCTTCCAAGTCACTGCTAGGACCTGCCTGTCAACTGGGAGCT